TATCAGTCAGATGTCCGTATGCACAAAGGCACAGATCCCTAAACAAGACCATATCTGCAGATGAAACATTGTTTGTAGAAGCATTCATTAAATTTGAACTAGCATCTCGTGACTACACCACGTTATGTACGAGAAGCTGCAAAAGACACAGGCGTAAGTGGAATGTACAAAACATGGTGACATTAATTTTTGAGTAAATATAATGGGCGATATATTGCGTCACCAAAAAAATGATTGAGGTCATGTACATATATTGTGCGATAAGTCGATATATTGATTATTGCGACAGGCCTAGATTCACGTTAATCAGATCTTGTTTTAAATGAGTGCTGAAATAAATACCGGAAAAGATCAATTCACTGCTTTTGAGAATCGATATCGAATCGACGTTAGGGCTGTGCAATTAATCAATCGTCATAAAATCCCGATTTGAGCATGCGCGATTTCTAAATCGCTTTACAGCATGATTTTCCGCTCCTTCGACATCCCGCAGTATGCTATCCGAACCAATCAGAATGCAGCGTGCCTAAATGGAGCACGAGAACAGAACAGACCGGGCAGGCATACAAACGTAACGCCAGGTTCACACACTCTGTCTGTGGTGCATATTTTTTCCGCACCCATGTTAACGGATCAGAGCGTTCACACTGCACACGATTGCGCTCCGCCAGTGTGCTCCAGGAGAGGTGCGTCTGCAGCAGTCATGCTGCGATCGTTTCCGCACGGAGTCTATTTCTGCTGTGCTGCACGCGCTGAATTAAACCGTCTTCCACCATTTTGGAAAGTACCCCAGAACATAATCAACGTAATCAGCGTTGTTTACGTTCAGCATGCGCGCTCTTTCGCTGAACGTAATCGAACACTGCTGTTGCATTGCTGCCTATGGAGGTTCTCAGATTTTATCAGAAATGTCTTAATTTGTGTTCTGAAGATGAACAAAGGTCTTACGAGTTGGAACTAGAGACCTGCGCAGGACGGATTTTTCAGTCCCGCTCCCGCCCGTTCCCGCAAGATTCTGTCCTGCGCCCGCCCGCTCCCACAAAAATATATATCTTATCTGGTCCCGCTCCCGCCCGCGACATTCATTTTGTCCCGCTCCCGCCCGCAAAAGCCCGCATAAAAGTAATCTATATAGATTGTTTTAAGTACATTGAAGAAATTTACATGAAATGGTTCTGTAACATCTCCTAAGCTCCACAACATCCCAGCATAAACATAACAAACTACTACCGATAAAATATTTGTTATTTAGACTAAGCATCAACATTCACAACCACTGTTATTTTTTACGGAAAGCAAGCAAGTGCTGCTGCGTGCATGGTTTGGCATGGCAGAATGCAAGCAGCACACTTCCTTTATTATCACAAAAAGCTGACATCTCAGTTAATCGCGATCTCATAAAGCTCTGTTATAACACTAAATATATGCACAATGAATCTTTCAGAGTGTCTAAAATGAGAGGATTCGTGAGCACGCAATTTCAGCACTGCGGTGAGTAGATTCTAACTTGATCACCTCTGATTGGCCATTGCGTTCCAGAAATCAACAGTCAAAATCTGTGATTGGCTACATTATAAATGGAAACTAGGCTATGTCTAGCTTGCGCGTTAATCATTTTAATGTTAATATTAGTTGTTCTTTTTGCTTTAGTGCAACAGATAAATAACAATTTATATGTTTTAGACACTTTATGTTTAGATCATTTCTATTTTGAGGGAGTCCCGCGAATCATTTTATTCTCCCACATCCTGCACACACACACACGAGTCTCTTCCCGCCCGCACCCGCACTCGCCCATCAAGAGTTGTCCCGCACCGCACAGGCAACGCCACAAAGAGCTCTATGACCAATGCATGGCAAAAATAATCCCTGGACACGGGACTTTCTTTTCCCTGCCATATTCTAGAGACATTTTGTTACACCTTAGTGATTAAAAGCATGCCTGTGTGTGTCAAAATCGTGATTAAAATCGAAATCGCAAAATTGATCAAGAAATCGCGATAGGTTTTTTTTGTCCATATCGCACAGCCCTAATCGACGTAATTAAAAAAAAACATTAATCGAAAAATCAATTTTTTTGCCCAGCCCTATCTAGTACCGCTTCATCTTTCAACAAATGTTTCTTTGTGAACTCTCCATGACACTGTGCCTCATTTACAAATCAAAATGCTCCAATCAATCCTCCGATACGATCCGGGGTAGGGTTGCGCCGATAGACGATAGTATCGTGTATCGACGATAGCAGATTTCTTTGCCGATAGTCAAGACGATATTAGGCTCATTCTCCTATTAATGTATTAAATAATAATAATAATAATTATTATTATTATTATTAGGCGAACCATTATAAATTGGCTATTATTATCAAATTGCCCCGCTTTTTCATTCAGCACTGTATTTCACACACACACACACACACACAGCGCAAACGAGGAGCCTGTAGCCAGTGAAGGAGTCTCCAACCACAAACACAGACACATATCGTCTGCTGATATAAGGTATTTCGTTGCACTTTAACAAGTAATCTGAACGGCCTATTATACAGGGCTCTAGACTGCGAACAATTTTTGAGAATGTGCGAGTTGCATTGTAGCAGGAGTCAGATTTCACTGATCACGTGAAGAGAGGTGCTTTCAGGATGGAGAGCAATGAAGGATTTGGTTAACAAACTAAAGTAAAAGACCAAACCAGAGAAGGTGACCATGTTGGTATTCTTGTGGAAAAAAACATGCAAGTCCTGTCAGCGACAGCCAGTTTAGTTTTACTTTTCTTTTTGTTTTCATTTTGAAAAGCTTGTTATCTTTGCTGTTTACCTCGCGTTACGCTATGGAGGCTTTCCTTAGTTATTTTCTTCTTATTATTTATTTGATTTTGTTTGAATGTTTGTTAAACATTCTGTAATTTATTAGTCGGTATATACAGCATGTGATGTATCCTATGTCATGCCTTATTCGTTTTTGTTAATAAAGGTCATGTAAGCTGGTTTGTCATTGTAGCCTACTGTTTTATTGTTGTTGTGCTTTTTAATTAGGAATAACAATAAATCCATCTTTTGTTTTAGTCTTAAAAAGTGAAAGGTATATAGATAAGCAAAACAGACAATTATCTTTTCTTGTAAAACGTGACACCAAGATCGCAAATTTGAAAGTGAAAGTGAAATGCACACGAAAAGAGGAATTCCTGATAAAAAAATTTAAATCACAAATAATACTGATGAAAAAGAACGGGTTGAATGTTGAACACTTTTGTTACCATATAACCATAAACTATGATAAAAGTTCATCAGCATGCATTGATTAATCAAATGTTGTAGCAAAAAAATTAATAAAATGGACCAAATTATGTGCTCGTGCGACCAACTGATAAAGTTAGTCGCAAAAGAGCGACCAGTGGGAAGAATGAGTCTAGAGCCCTGATATATGTGCAATATTTTAACCGAGCCCTCACTAACCGAGTTTAATGCCACAGTTATGTTAGAACGCATCTCATTCTTGTTTCTGTGGCGGTGCGTCAGGCTCATCATGGGGCGCGCAGTCCGGAGCACTGTATGACTGATGTATCTGTTTAATTTAAATTTACTCCAAATATATGAACTTACCTGTTTTAAATACTTTATATTTAACGCGTTCGTTTATGTCCAATATCTAAATTGTTAAAATGTTGGTCTTTAAAATAAATCTACTTTTGATTTTCACCGTTGACTGATTTTGCAGACCTTCCGTGAACTTCCGTGCTCTGATGCGGCAAACTTGTCACAGGACGCACAGTCTTAATAGCGACTGTTGTATCCAAATATATATAAACTAGCTGTTTTAAATATTTTTGTATTTAACATCTTAGTTTATCAGTATGTCTGAAAGTATATTATTTAGATTCATGGTGCTTCCATAGGCTCCCTCTCTCTCGTGCGCGTGCGCGGTTTAAAAAAACTATCCAGTGATGTAAAACAGCAAATTACTATCTGCACTCCCACTGTTAGTTACAGCATTGCATCACTGCACAGCAAAAAGCTGAAGCTCAATTTTGTTGCATCATCAACAGTTGCTGTCCCTCATAACCACTAAAATTGGCGACTCACTGCAAAAGAATGACTACTGGTCACACTGTTGCTGCAAATTGCTGTCAGTGCAAAACACCCTTTTATGTCATGGATGGATGGGTAAAAACAGTGGTTGTCAAATATAAGGCTTTATTTTAAAAAAAATAATTAGTGAAGAGGCTTTGCCAAAATTCCTTTATCTGTCACAACAATGCTGTTAAAGTCGAGAGATATGTGACTATTTTCTTAATCTCCCCAGACTTCTCATTATTTATTATACTGACCTTCATTCATTTCATGCTCCTTTGACATTTTCAACATTAAATAAAAAGACTGCACACATAAAAAAAGTAATAAATAACGATATGCAGCAAATGTTCACTTTATTATAAGAAAACCACCTTATTTATCCCTTTTTGCATCCATACACATTTTTTTCAGTGTTAATGTCAATATTTCTGACTGTCGAATGTCCAACGACTTGACACTTGTTTTGGAGGGTGGGCACCCACCAGCAGAAACAAAAATCGGCACATATGAAAGTAAGCTAGCAGACTCTTAAGTGTTAAAAAAAAAAAAAAGTATATACTTACTGGTTTCGGCATCTTGTCTCCTCTCCTCCCTTCCCACGTAATCAAGAAAAGAAGAAAATCTTGTCCTCTATCACAGGATTGTAGGCCCCTAAAAAAGGAGGGGATAAACCAAATAAGAACACTCCTACATTCTTCTATATTTCCACCAGACATAAGTTGACATCTTGATTAAGCTTCATTCACAACAGTTCTCTATATGAGGCGAAACGTAGCCATGCCCTTACTCTGATTGGCTTGGTCATCTTTTACAGGCATACAAGATAAGAAATGTGTTTGGAGTTGTCTTCACTATAATGAACAGAAAATATAACATTAGCCAACATCCTGCAATAGCAAGAGAAATTAATTATGAAATGTTTGTTTGTGGTGGTAAAGAAACGAGAATAAATATTACTCCAATAAAAGATATGTGATAAGTTCTAATGTGACAAATAGTTTAGAGCTCAGTCTAAACATTTTGAAAACTTTGTTTTCTAAACATGACACTCAGTCTCAGACATTTTTATAAATAATTAGGAGCACACTTGATTGGAGAATATCATATTGCTCCCGGATTAGGCATGGGCCGGTATGAGATTTTGACGGTATGATAACCTTAAGCAAAAATATCACGGTTTCACGGTGAAAATTGTCATCATTTATTCAAGTTTTTCCAAATTCAATCCTTGATTCAAATTTCTCATAAGCTTAACTGATTTGGTCTAAAGAGAGAAGAATTAATGACTATTTCTGTTTGAAGACTACATATGCCGATATGAAATTTTTTTATATAACATATAATGCAGATTAAATGCTTCTGAATGGTGTAATTACTTAGTTTGTCTAGCAGAGCGTGCTCCATTGTTTGCTACTGGCGACCCAGGTCAGTGTAGTGTAGAGATGCGAGGATGAGCTCAAACTTCACCAGAGTCCACTGCTTCAAATTATCCGCCCGCCACCCACCCGCACCCATATTTGATTGTCACATTACAATGATTCTAATTCTTAGTTTTGCATGATGATATGATGAAGGATGGTTCATTTTTAACAGCAGATTCAGTGACGTTAGAGACTAGAGCTGATCTGCGCATCATGCCAGGCGTCATTAAAGCCTGTGTTACGGCCACCGGAGCTGATCGCAGCCACTCAGTCAATGCTGGTATTTATACCGGCCTCGACCCGCGGCCCAAGACTCATGCTTATCACATCAGTCACATCACATCTCGCGGCGCGACAAAATACATTAGAATTTCTATTGTATTTTTTCGCGCCGCGCCGCTCACGTCCAGTGTAGAATAGAACCCATTATAATCAGTGATGTTGTCTACACTGGATGCAGTAAACTGATGCCTCGTTCTATTTATGACGTGCTGACTCAAAGTTCAAATGATTTTCAACGGTCGCTTTGTCGTGTCCTGTTGCAGCGCAGACACGGTGTCAGCATAGTTTGTCAGTACAGTCAGTAACGTAGAAGATTGAAAAGTTAGTATCTTTCTGCAATCCAATAGACGGCAGTGCGGTGGTGGCTTGAGTCTGTTGAATGGTGATTTAACGCTACGTTGTCACCTAGCTGGAGAGACTTAATGCTAAGTAAATAAACAACAATGTCCTCATCTTTTACTTTCACAATGAGCTTATCATATTCGTTTGTTACATTAGTAGGGCTCTACGATTTCCGCGATGCAGAAAACATGGACGGAATCGTGGAATCCAGTTATAAAAACGGAATTTACTGTATAACGCTGAATTTCATGGAATTTGTCTTATTTTTGATGAATAAATAAAAACAGGTCAGTACATACATATATATAGACTGTCTGTGAATATTAAACTGAAAAAAAGACTTATTTAAATACGCATGTTCTGCATGTTCATTTGATTACCAGAAAATACACAACACAGAATTTGTGAAAAAAAAATATTAGGGCTGAAGCTATCGAATATTTTAGTAATAGAGTATTCTACCGAAAATTCCATCGATTAATCGAGTACTCGGATAAGAACTTTTTCTTTATTAAAGAGCAATACTAAATATACAAGAGAAAATACGACAGGTCTCTTAAAATAAACAAGTAATTTGTTTCCTTTTTAGAAAAATGAACATTTTTATTGCTGAAATTGCATATATTAATAACTGTGAAAACTAAACCCATTTAGTGCATTTAATTGCCATATTACATTCAAAATGCAAATACAAATATATAAAAATCTATTTCAAATTACTTTAAAAATGGTAAACATAGTACAACCAAAAACTAAGACATAAATCAGAATAATAGTAATAAAAAAAATAATAAAACCTAAACATTGTGCAACTTAACTTTCAAGTTTCAGCCTAACTACAGCTCAGGCATGACATAAGCCTTTACTGTCTTCTTAGAAGTAGAGATGCACCGATCGATCGGCCAGGGATCGGAATGAAATCAGAATCAGCCAAGAAAATTGCAATCGGTGCATCTCTACTTAGAAGGCTTTGTGGCTTTTGTAAGAGGCAAAAATTTGTGGGCAGGAAGCTAACATGGAACAAAAAAGTCCATACACATAACATTTATTAACACATTTTTCAGCAACATGAATTTAAAGTTATTTGGAGAATAAACCCTCTTAAATGTCTCTCTGCATACTGCCGAAACAGAGAATTCTGGATGTGCTTGGTCAAAAACCGAAACAGAAAATGCTTTGTAATAATTATTTATTTTATTAAATATAAAGTAATTTTGTAAGACTTTTTAATTTAACTCAATTTTAATGACACGGAATTTTAAAAACACAAGCCAATAAACTAACCACACTTTTATTGAAAGAAAATTGGACAGAAAATATATTAATATTAAATATCAATGTATTATTTTTATTCAGTTCTATGCAACAGAATCAGACATAACTGTTGTTGTTGTTTTTGACTAATTATCCAAATAATGTATAGTCCTGCAAACAGGGTTTTTCCTTTTTCAAAATGCGGCAGAGGTGGTACCATCCTGATCATGTGCACACAATGTACCTAGCCTTCAAGTGGCTGAAACAAACACTTTTTACACGCAACATATTTTAGGTGTTATAATTATAACGTTATGTTTTATTTTCTCTCACCTAATGTTTTATTGTTATTTATTCTTAAAATAGCCTTATGAAATGTTTTCTTTTTCCTCAGAAATTCTGTGTTGTGTATCGGTTTATCAAATTAAGGCATAAAACATTAATATCATTTATCTTTAAATTATTGAAAATTAAACTTTTTGGCAAACAAAGGGGATTTACTATTAAAATTAAAACATGGAAGAAATGTTCTGTGATCATTCCTTTAAAAATAAAGTTTTCATAACTTTAGTAGTACATTCTGCTGAACAATAGTAATACATTTCTGCTGCAATGTCTTCATATTAAACCAGACTTTTATTTTGACGGGTTTCCGTGAATACCTTTACATTTCTGTGTGTATATGATATGACGCTAGTTTTACTCAAATGAAACGGTCATGAAGTGACTCTCAGAGCAGTTCTGGAGTTGTTCGTGTGTTTATGTCCTCATTAAGACTGCAGACGCTGAAATCACCACGAGCGTCACGCGCGCTTCAGTGTGTGTGTGGTAAAGGAAAACGCGCGTTTCTGCCATTCATTCATTCATAGAGATATGATCGCGTAATATGAGTTAATGCTCATCAGATCTCGTAAATCAGTGGGAAATGAATACAAATGATGATTTTGTGTAAAGAAATATAAAGTAAACATGTATAAAAATATAAAAACCCTGGCAAAGCTATTATTATCAGCGCATGTGAGCAGAGCATAGCGGGGAGCAGATCAGTGAACGAGATTTTACCATCATTGCCCAGTACTGCAAACAGGAACAAGTATACTACATAGAAATTTCTTGTCAGCGCGTTATTTGAGCAGACTTGGCTTTTCCGGTGAGCATGAGCAGTAAATGAGAAGAATGCACATTGATAGAGCGGAATAATGAACGGAGCGTCACACGGCGCAGTGATGACGGCTGGAGGAGAGTGAAACCTGAACACTGCTGGGCGGCGCGGCACGGCATCTCTAGTAAATGGACTAAACGATTCTTCAAAGCACATAATTTGCCTCGATGATTTTTTGTATTCGAGTTACTCGAGGAATCGTTTCAGCCCTAAAAAATATTATTCATTATTATTATTATTATTTATTCATTTTAGATGTTTACAGTTGGAAAAGCTGTGCTTCCTGCACAAACCTGCCCGTTGGTTTGGCAGTAGCTTGATTGCCCTACACAGTTACCTTGTTTAATTTCTTAATTCAAGTTATA